AACTTTAAAAGGTTCTCACAGTAACAACATATTACTTGGCTGATAATATTCCTACGTGTTTTATTTATAGACTGGAACTCTCCTGAACTTGTCAGAACAGCAACTTATTGACTGCTCGTGGGGGTTTGGTAACCGGGGCTGTAAAGGAGGATATCCTCATCGAGCCATGCAGTGGGTCATTAAACATGGCGGACTGGCCACTGAAGAGAGTTATGGAAGATATCTAGCTCAGGTAAAGAGAAAGAAAACTGAACCGAACTTTTCTCAAACGGTCTGGGACAGGTGCAAAAAAATATGTAAATGTAAATATGTAATTTGTTTACCCATGCACGGAGCACGAGCTTACAAGAACTCGTTCAGAAATGCCTGTGCCATTTCGTCATTTCGTGTTCATTTGGCGCTTAGCTTATTCGATGATTTTAACTGGCAACACTCGCGTAAATTTGTCTGGAATACCGATACACTGGGCACTGGTAGAGAAGGTATACTCTTTATAACATCCATCAGAAACCAGAGCTAAAGCATCGGTAGTTTTTAGGCGCTAGGGCCTGAGTGGCTAAACTCATGAACAATTGAATTGTTATGTAAAAGTAAATTTCTAGATACCAATCGCGATGCCAATTTTGTGTTTCAGGAGGGATTCTGTCATTTTAAAAACACCACAACAGGAGCAAAGCTCGACTTTTTCATGAATATCACAAAAGGGCATACAAGCGAGCTGAAGCAAGCAATTGCTTTCTATGGTCCTGTCAGTATACTCATCAACACACAACCAAAATCATTTAAATTTTATGGATCGGGAATTTATTATGACCCAGCATGCAGTAAGTACATAAGTATTTAAATTCTCTCGATGAGACGTACCTGCAGGGAATCATGGCAGTTGTATTTATCATCATGGTCTGGATATTTGTTTTGATGAATACAAGTAGCGCGATTTCCTGCAGGCGCTAATCATAGAGGACGATAGATCAACCGCGTTCCCTCGTTAATTCTTCAGAAAGTTCTACAAGTATCGAGAAATAAAGAACGTGCCAGAGAAGCTTAATTATTAATTTTAGTATTTATTTATTTATTATATATGCTTCGTGGGTTGGGTTGTGGGCTGCATTTAGTGATGGGCAAATTTACAACAAAATGTACACTAGCTGCATAATGAAAACACCTTTAGTTATATAATTAATGGCAAAAGAACGAAGTAAAAACCGAACAGGACCAAATCACCTGAAGTCAACACCTGATAGTGACAACTACGGCATTACTTAATTTCTTTCATCCGTTGAAATGAACGCGCGCATGGCTAATGTTTCCGTAATTGATTTTTCTCATCCCCAGCTCATGCATTGGACCACGCGGCCTTAGCTGTTGGCTATGGAGTGGAAAACGGCGAGCCATACTGGCTGATAAAGAACTCCTGGTCGAAAGCTTGGGGTGATCAGGGATATATCAAGATCGCTATGAAGAATGACAACTGTGGTGTTGTACAAAAGGCTGTTGTAGTGAAGATCAGAGATTGAATCAAA